GCGTCGTACGGAACTGGTGGAGGCCTCTGCGGTGAGGTGCGCGATGACTATGAGCTTTCCGGGATCGCCCATGGAAGGGGCTGCCGTCATGGCGGCGTTGGCTGGCGCTGTCGGACGAGGTGTGAGGTTCCTGGGCGCTGGCATCCAGTGTATTGGGGAATTCTTGGTGACCCTACTCGGGTGGCTGGCCTGGATGCTGAATATTGATGAGACGAAGACGAATTCCATTATAGGAGCGGTCAGAATGGCTTACAATGGCCTGGCCCTCCTCATTTTGTTCAACATGACTGCCGCCATTTTCTGCGCAATGGGGCAACTTCTGCAGACACCAAAAATAACCCTGACCTGGACCCGTGTGCGGAACGCCCACGTGTCGGCTGATGAGGTGCAGCTGCTGCGAAATCCACCCGATTTTGGCGCCCTTTTCCGTTGCGGCTGGCGGTTGCGACGACACAGTCGTCCGCGGATTCCCTTGGTGTGCTGGGAGTATTTTTCGCGGCGGCGACGGCGGCTGCGGCTGTGGCCAGTTGTGAGGGATGCCTGCGCAGAGGAGGACCAGGAGGACCGTCCCCCGCCTGGGCTCAAAGAGTCGAGTCCATCGCATCACGAACATTAAGAACTGGCGCAGGACCCACGCGGCGGCGAAGAGCCGGATGGTCTTCGTGCTGTTCGCGATGGTAGGTGCCGCAAGCCACATCCTTCCTGTAGCTCGTGCTTTCTTGCAGATTGCGCGGGAAGCAGTTGGGAATGGTGCCCGCATGGCGACGTCCGGCAGGAACAAATGCCCCTGCCGCTTTCAGACGTAGAGCGGGTCAACGTGTATGAATCCACTCGTCCTGTTGGATCACGCCTTTGATTAGCAATTGGGCCCCCGTTGGGCGTTGAAGATTTGTCCAGGATTCAACGTAGCGGTGCAACAACCTCCTGAGGACCAGGCGGCCGTGGCCCATTGATGCATAGTCGTAGAGGAAGAGCATCGTCGCCTTTGCCCGGTTGTACTGCAATCTTGCTTGTTAGCGGCTGACATCGAGTCCCGGGGCTCCTCGTGTGTCGTTGCAACAGGAGTTTGCACCAAACACGCCGCGGCTGAAGCAATTCATTACAGAGATGTCGTTGCTGCCGAACTTCAAGGAAGCTGAATTCCTTTATGTGGACGGCGAGAGAGTGCCGGTGAGGGACCCAGCTGGTTACACCGGGCAGTGTCATCCTGTGGACACAGCATGCTAGGACTAATCCTGTCAGCTGAGCTTCCTTAAGCTGATGATTAGTCATCCAGTATTGGTTGGTGCCACTCCACTGCCAGTGGCTTTCCTGCAAATCTCTTCGTGATGGGATGCAGCTGTTTTGTGGCGTTGCTTTGGTAGTTATGATTCAGGTTTATGGGTAACAGGGGCCACTGGAGGAGAATGGAATTGCAGCAGAGGAGCTCCCAGTTTTCTGCTGCTACCGAAATGGCGAGCTCCTGGAGAAATACCCAATTGATGTAGGTGCATACGACGCCAGATGCTCAGCACTCACTATGTCTTCCAAATGATGGACGTTGTTTGAAGCTTAATGTGCCAGCTGTCTTGAGCATCAAATGACGCACTCTGCCTGGGAAAAGGATGCAAGAACTATGTTGCTGCTGGATGTTGTTGTTTAAATTTCCGGAATATTCCATCGCATTCCAGTAATAGGAATGTTGTTGCTGTGTCTGCTTGTGCTGTTGCTTTTGTTGCTTAGATTACAACAGGTTTCCACACTAGAGAAAGCAGTGGCTCAGGCACTGTAACCATTTGCTCTGTCACCATGTATACCCATGAGTATCCTCTGAGGGCCATTCCAACTATTGGGACAGAAACCCTGCCTGGACCTCCTGGGCCATCACCATGGCAAACGCCACAATGAAATACAAGGAAGCAATGGCCATAGGTGGTGTCCTGTGGGTGCCGCCTGACTGTTTTCCACCTCAGCCTAGGGTGGCACTGAGCTCCTGATGAAAGGGAAATACGTGGAGAAATGGGAAGGCAGGCAGAAAATGGGTGCCTCCACCAGGACTTTATGGTTATGCATTCCCAAACACTTTCGAGCAGCAGTCAATCCCATGCTGCAACAGCAGAGCAAGAGAGTATTAAACCCAGCTCATAGTTTGGTATTCACTTCCCAACAGCGTCGCACAGATTCACTGCATGGTACTTCCATCAATATCCAAACTGATACAGCGCCAGGATACAACACCTGACACAGTGCAGGGCTGCAGGCAGTGAGCCTCAAAGTATCAGAAGGCATCAGGTGGCAAACTAGACCACCCACATATGCACCACTGTGGCTTTGTAGCCCCTGTTTAAAGATTTTAAAGCAAGCAGACTTGTGAATGCAAACCAGCGAGGCTGCTGTAAGAATGGTGGCCTCAAGCCATGCTCTGCACCTTCCTCTACAGTCTGTCCTGTTTCATGTGTGTGCACATGTGCCCTGAAGTCCATGCCCAACCTCTTCCATTTTGAGGATTGTTTCACAAAGGTCATGGCTACAAATGATGTGTCCAAGAAAATTTCGCAGGGCAAAATTTTCATTTGAAGAGAATATTGGAAGAGACGTTGTTGTCGTTGCCTCAAAATGACTCTGCGCAGAATGTCTTATACTGCGGATATTCCTGGGTCTACCATGAATCCTGGCCTCGATGAATTTCTTGAATGACTGTCAGAATAGCCAAGGAAATGAAAACCATGCCCTTGACTATTCTTTGTACAGCTGACATTTTGTTTGGCCCTTACCATTTGCAGCATCACAACCAAACTTTCATCCCTTGCTTTGTTGCGCATTCTAGCTGAATGAAAGCCTCGCTTCATTGTACTGTTCTGCAGCAAAAGATCGAGGGTATTTTTGCTCACAAGATGTTCACAATGTTCTCCAGGCATGCAGGTAATACATGACAGATGAGATGACAGCGATATATGGTGCTTGCTGGCCTGTTCACTTGTTGCCAAATTCCGGGTGGCTGTTGGCAGTGCCTTGTCCATCGCCTTGTTGCTTCAGTTGTGATGTGCGCTGTCAAAATATGTGTGAAAAGCACAATAGCTGAATTTGCAGGCGGTGCCATTTCAGTGTACTTTTCAAGTCCAAGTTTGCAGCACCTTTGTGTGCATTGCTGCCCAAACTTTAATTTCTCAAATGTTGCAGATGAGCTAAACTACTTTCACCGTCTGCATTACCAATGTTGATCTGTTCTTGTGTGTTTCAGCCAACGCTGCCGCTGAAAATGCACAACTCGCCAAACCAAGGTTAAGCCGCCTGGCACAGCTGGCTGCAGGAGCACTAACAGTGGGAGCTGTTGCTGTTGGTAGGTTATACAAAGATCTGCACAGCAGGTCATGCATTGTGTGGTGGCAAAGTGCGCTTGCATCTTGAGTGAATTCCTTGGATAGCTGTTGTCCACTGTGACGAAACACTGCCCTTGTTTTTTGAGAGCGTTCATGGAATGTCCTGAATTTGGCAGTGACCATGTCGAAATCAGAAAACCACAGTTGTTTCAAATTAAATCAACCTGCAAGCCACTTTTATTTTCCATCTACACTGGCAATCACTCATATCGTGGTGAGCTGTGAAGACGCCTGAAGTTTGGGGGACACCAGACTACATTCCAGGACACGAGCACCCCCTTGCAACATAATCGTGGTAGTAATGCCATAGCCAAACTCAGTGTACCAAAGCCAATGAGGAAATGGCATTCTTGGACACTCGAAGATTTGGGTGCACACTGCTTATCCTTGCAGCAATCTGCCTGTGCATGAAGAAGTCCCAACACCCTTCAAGCAATGGCAAGAGGATCTGACCTTTGCGTGAGGTCAGTTTGGTTAAATCATGAAAGCATCTGTTACAAATGCTTCTCAGCAAGTAGGCAGTAGGTTGTGTGGAAAATCTGCATTGTGAGGTGGAATGCAAAACCATAAGTATCTCGTTTGCAAGTGATCACAACCACATGTTGTACATTCATGGGAATGATTTTTTCAGATGTTACCCTGTTGCATGCGTTTCAACTGACCAAATCCTATTGCAAAGTCAGCAGCAGGCAAGAAGTGCTTGATGCTCAGGAATCTAGTTTTGGTAACCTCTTGGGTGAGTGTCAGAAGCAGCATGCTCTTGAGGTCACCAGTTCATGTGTTTCCTTCGTCTTCCTTCATTTCAGTTGGGATTTGAACACGATGCAGTCATACAATGTTTGCGAGTAGTGTAAGCAGAGGAAATGCACATGTGGGCAACACTGGAAAGCTTGTTGTTGTTAGCAGTTAATTATGGCTGAAGGTGGCTTGCACTGGCGTTCATGGGTGAACCAATTTTCCCTCTCTCTGTCTGCCACAGCCGCCATGGTGGTTGCCTTTTCCAAGTCGCAAGAGCAAAGAAGGAGGGGAACAAGGGTAGTGTCTCATCGTCAGCAGCTCAGAGCACAGCAACTGAGTCAACAGGAATCCAGTGAGGGCGATGATTCTGACTTTTTTACGGATTACGAATCGGAAGAAGATTTGGAACAGAGCTGGGAGGCAGGTGAGGGTGCATACATACCCGAGGATGATGTGACTGAGATGGCAAAAGGCTCTTTGGTGTTGAAAGATGTAGGGCTATTGGCCTTAACTTGAGACGATGCAGGGCAGTTTAAGTCCCCCCCTCCTCCCCCTTCCCGCCCCTCGCTCTTTGCAATCACTTCCTAATCATCGCATAGATGCTATCAGCTTCCTGTTCATTGTTCCTGTTTCAAAGTTTGTAAATATTAGTGGAAATGGACATGGTTCTCTGTGCTACAGCCATCGATGGATGGCCTTGATTGTCACCTGCAGGAGAGGATCTTGGTCTTATGAATGCCCTGACTCCGCATAATGTTTTTGCAACGACTCCACTGTTTTCAGCATTACTATTGGCTTGTGTTGCAGCAATTGAGGAAGCTGAGGTCGCAGAAGGCGAAGAGGTATTTTAGAAACCAGCGTGAGCTACCTGTACATTCATTCTGCTGCCATCCCGCGATGCTGAGGGCTTCCTTCTGGAAGTCATCCTTGATGTTCTGAAGGTTCCAGCCTTCTTTTCACAGTGACTGCAAATTTGATTCAAGTCAAATTGATTTGGAAACGGATGGCCTGCCAATTGCCTCAGTGGGATTGTTCTGAGCGTTCTCGTTCATGATTTTGCCTTTGAGTGGCACAAGTGCAGGTCCCATGGAGGGATTGGCATTCCATGTTTTTCTGTCCTTGAGGACCCTTTCTGTCCTTTCTGACGTTGATTCTTCTAGTAGCAGATATTTGCTCCTGGCAACAGGTTTCCGCCTGTTGTATTGCAAAGGCTTCCTGACAATCTCAACAGGCTAGCTTAAGGGGATGTAGGGAATCTGAGAGTTCTGGGGAAGCGAGAGGACGATGGACCATATCACAGGTGCCCAGTGAATTACTTGCCAACATTCCGCATGAACGCGATCAACATTGGAAGACTGATTCCAAACTGTTTGGCATGGCATAACTGGTGCCAACCACGGAGGCACACTCTGGGGGCATGGCATGAGTTCATCATCCCTGCATGTTGGAAGTTTTTGCGGCAGCGATTGACTTCCGTTTTGGTTTCTTAGGGAGCTGCGTGGCACTAGATACACACAATAACATCAGCAAATCTGGTTGGTTGTCAACTTTTTTACACTTGCTGCATAGATTTGAAATACAGTTTGGGTTTTGGGGCTGGGCCGTGCAAAACCTGACAAACACGATGTGTTGTTTGTGTGTGCCCTTGGAGTTTCCATAAGTCAGGTTATCATGGTCATTTGACAAAAGCTGCCAGCTATTACTCCGCCTTGGTGACAATCAACCTTTTCCAGTGATACATCACCAGTTTTAATCGTACGCTTACCACATTTTTCACTGTAGCAATTGGTTCCCAAATTGTGGTAAGTCGATAAGTCACACTGACTGCCCCCAAATCACTCAAGCTGCACTGGTGCCTATTCACATACCACAAGTAGCAATGTGACAATGAGCAACGAGTATTGTTTCCAGTCCTTGTATCATCTCCAGTCTGTTGCAAGATCTCAACACCATGGAATTTATCCACCGATGCCCAAGGACACTCACTATGTCCTGTCCATCTCGGGCTGGCATGTCTTGTGTGCCCTTCATCACGCATGCTATTGTTGGTATCGCTCTGCTTTGAGTGGACCCTACATCTTGCCAAGTCTGGTGCAATTCTTGTAGAGACCATGGTCTCACCATGCTCCAAGATCAGCAAAACCATGTGCAAATTGTTTTATTACTGGCCTGCCACTGACGGTTTGCAATTGGCCACTCACTGCCGACCGAGTGGCTCCATAGCCTACACATGCAGACACACATGTGTCGTTAGTGATTGCCTTGATGACCACTGTGGGTGATCCTGCACTGTACCCCTTCGCTCTTGTGCTGGCACTGCACGTGGGCCTCTAGGCTGCTCGTGACTTTAGTCACGGGCACAGGGCGCTCGTGTTTTGAACGCAGCGGGTGTATGGTGTATGGTCAGTGGCGTGTACATTGCAAAGGTGCATAATTGGGCGACCTGCCCATAATGAACTGCACATAATACCACCCAATCTCATACATGTGAAAAAGCGTCAAATGATGCAGCACGGAGAAGGAAATTTCCTTCAAATTTAAATTTGCACCGTTTGTTCCCGGAAGGACACGATTTTTTGGTCTATTCACAGCAGCGCACCCCCATGCACTGCCCCTGCGTGGTGTGGAGAAGCGGCTTTTACCTGTGCCCGGAAATCCACCCGAGCTGACCCATATGATGCGCAGTGATAAACAATGTGATGTTGGGCCCCATGGCGCACCATTCTCGCCGCCCGCACCCACCCGTGCCCCCCGCCAACCCAGCCCCGGCCCTTGGGTGGCGAGGTTGCTGGGCATGAAACTGACGGCGATTGGCGTGCTGCGCTGGAACGGCGACGCCAAGGAGCCCAACGTGCTGGGCTTTGCCTGCGACCTGTCCAACTTCGGCTACTTCCAGCGCGGCAGCGTGCGGGACTTCATCACCTTCACCTCGCGCACCATCGTCCAGCGCACGCAGCGCGGCCAGCGCCAGACCGTGCAGCACGAGGACTACTTCATCCACGTGCACGTCAAGGAGTCGGGCCTGGCGGGCGTGGCCGTGTGCGACCAGGAGTATCCCCAGCGGGCGGCCTTCTCTGTGGTCACACGCGCGCTCGAGGATTATGGCGCCAAGTTCGGGGATGCGTTTCGCTCGGCGTCCGGCGACGGCCAGGAGGCCACGCCGGTGCTGGAGCAGTGCCTGGCACGGTTCCAGGACCCCGCGCAGGCGGACAAGCTGACCAAGATACAGAGGGACCTGGACGAGACCAAGGTGATACTGCACAAGACGATCGAGAGCGTCCTGGAGAGAGGGGAGAAGCTGGATCACCTGGTGGAGAAGAGCTCGGACCTGAGCTTGGCGAGCCAGATGTTCTACAAGACGGCCAAGAGATCGAACTCGTGTTGTAAAATGATGTGACGGTTTGGGCTGGCCAGGGTGGGGGTCGCAGGGGGGTTGGGAGCCGGGTATGGGCTGGGGTGAGGCGGGATTGGATTGACGGAAACGGGTTTGATTTACGGATCTGTTCGGCAGCTTATGGATGTGTGCTCAAACAGAGAGGGTGTCCCGTTTGGTAGGCCTTCTTGTGGCAGAAAATGTTGTGCTCAGAAGGCAGCGAATCGCATTCACTGTTCGTTATGACCAGTTGCGGAACATTTGTGGATGAGTAGATCGGTTGCTGTTTTGAACGCCCTTGTAGGAAAGAAGACACTGCACCAACCTTGAGCATGGTGACTGGTGCAGTACCATCCTTCTTTCAGCAGCTGTGAGTGACTTGTGTCCCACAGTCACTGGTTGCTCCTGTGATAAATCTGTGGCGAGCGCCTCCAGATCACACCCATCCCCAGATTTACCTGTGCGTGGCACACTGGGGGCAGGACGTCCCTTGCCAAGCAACTTTGGGGTCTGGTATGGCCCCCCACATCGCGCTGCTGCATTCTAGACCCTATGAACAAAGCATCTTGGCAGAGCAGGTCCTGGAGGTCATCATCGTACTGACTGGTACCTTGAGCGTAAATTGCACGATGACCAGAACTGTGGCCCTGAATCAGCAGGAGCCCCCAACAATTGCCATGAATTGGTGCATGTGCTGTGCAAAGTTTAAACTACTGAAGATTCGTAAATGCACCAAGGTACCTTGCAGCAAGGAACACCACAATAGAGACACTCCCTGGCCGTGGCATGGCAGAATTGCATCAGACAGGGAAAAAAATATATTAAAATGCTGCAAAGAACACAACGTGTGCGGCTCTACATACTTCAACTAAGCAAGAAAGCGCACCGATTGCCCAACGCCAAGTGCAGCAGACACTGACAGAATGTTTCGGAACGTGCATCAACGCCCTGCCACACTTCATGGCCACTCAGAGCGAAAGCTGCGTTATTCCCTCCTTCATGGCTTTGTCTCACATATGTGCAGTCAGTGCTGCAAACAAGTTTTATGTATCCATTCATTTGCACCATGCTTTGAACATTGCGTTGAGAAGTATTGGGCAAGGCTCTCCGTGACACAATTTTGCGTTGGACATTGTCCTCCATAACCTGGAATGAAATCCATGCATCACTGATTGCGGTGATTAAGGAATCCCGATTCGGTGAAAATGCAAACCTGAAATATCACATGCACAAATCGAGCCCAACGTTCTTCTTCTCGTTCTTCTCAATTTCTTCGCACAGCTTCTTGACTTCAACATTGCAACGCTACACTGCAACAGATACGCCCTAAAGGCACTTGGGTATTAACTACAAGTTGAGAGGGAACCTGCTCTGTTATTGTGTGGTCACCAGTTCTTGGGATTGACACGATTCTTTGAGACAGTGTGTTGCCCCCAAGAAGGGGCGCCTTGGCTCAAGGGGCTCGGACACTATTCTCCCCAGTGCCGAGAGCCACGACTGTGGCAGTTGCAAGTGTCGATGTAGGGGACGTTTGATTTGTTGACGGATTTGCAAACGTAATCGAACATTGTTTTTTTGTCTTCGGCGTTTCTTTTCTCCTCATCCCTCCGCCGAGCATTCGTATAGAAGGGGTTGTGAATTTGAGCGCGTGTTGCTGGCGCTTTGCGCCGGCGCAACGGCAAACGACCCATCGGCTCGGTGCTCACCGGGATGGAGTTCTACGGGCGGCAGAGCCGCATCGAAGCAACGCGGCTGGAGGACATAACTGGGCTGGCTCCGTCCACGGAGGTGTACAAACAGGTGGGCAGCATGGGGTCCTTGAGGCCGCTCCCACGGCCCGAACATTCTGTGATCCGCTGTTGCTCTCAAACTTGAGTGCTTCGCTGCGTATGGGAAGTGGATACTGGATTGCAGATCTTGAGTAACGTAGGCCTGCAACGATGAAACGGCCTGCTGATCAGGAGAGTCCTGTAAGGGCGAATGGCGTCTGAGCGCGTGTCGAAAGTACTGGACTCGTCGCCATGGGCTCGGTTTGCCTCGAGCTTGAGTTTCAGCAACTGGCGTTAGTTGTCACTTGTCCCAACTTGCGAACTGGGAGATGATGTGGATATCAAAGCGTCTTGGGCGCTGCTTAGTGTTGGCGGTCCTGTCACGTGCATGTCAATGCAGTCTTCTTGCTCGGTGTTTGTGGGCAAACCTGGCTGCAGTCGATTCTGGGGAAGAGTACATTAGCCCTAAAACCATCGAAGGGTGTGTTGTTGGATTGCTGATCAGGATGTGGGATAGATTGTATGGCTGCATTGCTGCATGATGGGCGATGCTCTGGGCTGGTCTTCGCTTGTCCTCATCCTCAAGCCAGCTGCAACTGCTGCAACCTGGACGGGGTTTACGACGCCCATATCATGCATCATATCACAGAGCACTGCAGAGCAGTTGTGAAGGGCACTGTATTCTATTTGCCCACCATCTTGTACCATTACATGTGTGAAGGCCAAACCTTGTCCCATGGCTAAGCAGAAGGGTCCTTTAGTTGGTCAGCGAGGATCGCAGATGAAACAGTCTACTTGTTTTTCACCGAGGGGGAAATGCAATGTACATTGTGGCATTGCTATTAAGAGAACACAGCTATGAAGCATAACTTCCGTTGCCTGTGTTGCATGGAGATTTCAACCTCCTGATGCAATGAGCCACAACAGGTCTGCTGCAAAGTGCACCAAAACGGGAGCAGTGCTTGTCCAATTCACTACCAGCCATGGACTTCAAACAGGATTTGTACAAATTTCCACAAGGTTGTACAACCTCCTTTAATGAATGCACACTTCAGTGCTGGCATGTTAACACAGTAATAACTCTTGAACCTTCGTGAGTTGTTTGGCACCATACCTAAACGATGAGGGCCAGAAAACAGCCACAAGAGTGGCATGTTTTTAGAGAACACACAGTTGTGGCTGCACTGTTTGCACTATTTGCACAATATCGAATGGTCTGCCTTGCCCATTTTCGATGCAGGGCTTTCAGGCAGACGATGGACAACTGGAAGACTTGCTTGCTGCAGTCAAAGAATTGGAAGGAGTGCTGGTGACTGCGGATAAGGAGGAGGAACCGGGTTCAGGTGGTTCAACTCCGAAGCGTTGAGCCTCGACACTGCAGCTGCTAGCCTTGATATTTGTGACTATGCAGATGCAGGGCACAATGTGTTTTGCTGATCTTGTGGCTGGGCTGTTGAACTTCCCCAGGTGCCATGAGTGAAAGCTCTGTGTTTGCTCTGTGCTGCTTGCACTTGTGACTGTGGCCATGCCCATGCACAAGAACATGGACGTCTCAAATAGAATCACATGTTGTCCCTAGTTTCAGGAGTTTGGGACACTGGAGCAAGTGAGTGTACTTCTGGGCATTGAGACAGTGGGAAACTCTCTTCTTCTTGCCCAGGAAAGAGTCATCTGCCTTCTGCAGCTGGGGCTTGAGGTACATGGGCAAGATGCTCATGCCCTTGCCCAAGAAAATGCTGCCATGCAAAAAGAGAATGAGGTGCTCAGGAATGAAGTACAGGAGCTTGATACAGCTTTGGGCGAGGCGCAGCACTCCCTGGATGATCATGTGGCTGACAAATCAAAGAACCAGGAGAGAATTGAAGATTTGGAGAATAGGTGGGAGATCTCTCTCTGTCCATTGCTTGTTTTGGCACTGCTGGAGATACAGCCAATGAGCAAAAAGCATCAAATCATTGCTGCTGAGGTATAGTTTTAACCTGTGCACAACAAATTGAATTACATAAAGAAATATTTGGGGATTGAGCCCCAGTCTGCCACTCAATTGCTCTCTGCCAATGCCATGAACGTGCAGTCAGTGAACGATCATCTTGTTGGTGCATTCACCATATAAGGTGGCACTATGGTTGGACGACAATGAAGACCCTTTGATTGAGAAACATGGCAGAACTTGGGTGCATGCAGTTTATCTCGACTGCAAGCACAGCTGGAGAATGCCGCAGCACATGAAGCCAGCCTTGAAGAGAGGCTGAAAGATGCTGAAAAGGAAAACGACACTTTGCGCAATGAGGCCCAGTCCGCCTCCCTGCAGCGGCAGGCATCAGACCTGCAGGGAGAACTGCGAGTAGGGACAAAGTACTGTATCAGACATAATCAAAGCACCTACTGGTGTCCCCATCTCGCGATTTTTGTGCTGCGTATATTTTCTGCCTATGTAATTTAATCCTGTCGTAGGCTAATCCATGACAGCTGCATTACTGTTATTGGCACCACTGCACTGCAACCAATGGCCATGCTTATTGATTTATAAAATGGAATTTGCTGCCCTCTCTAGCTGCTATTGGATTGATGTGTATCAAGGCATATTTGCGTTCCTTGGTCACACCGTACATCCTCTTTGTGCAGCACACCCTGAGGAGCCAAGACCAAAGGATAGACCGGTTGTTGAAGGAAAATCGTGATCTGGAAGACACAAATGTTGAGCTTCTTTCAAGGCTGAACGAGATAAAGATGGAGAATCTGGAGGTGTGCAATTTCTTACATCACACTTTGCGGCAAATGCCCTGCAGTCTTGCATCAAGAATTTGAACAATACTTGCTGTACTGTCTGGCAGCAGGGCTAGGGTGAGGGGTGAAGCTACCTTTGCCTATTTCCATCGCTCTGTGAGCCGAATGGAATATAAAATCTTCAGATGAAGTACATTTTTCTCTGCTAATCATGGTCAACATGAGTCTGGTGAGCTCACTGTCGATCAAGCTTAATTTGCTTTGGACTTGTCTTCCTTCAAAACATCAAAGTGCTGCTCTGTTGACCCACATGCCTGTTTGTTTGCTTCGTTTGTCTTTTCTGAACAACTTCTTTTGGATGGTGGCATACAGGTGTCTGAAAAAATTGTTGAGTTGGACGAGCAGGCCCGGCTATGGCGAGTCCAGGAAACAGACTTGCATGACAAAGTTAAACATCTCACAGAACTTTCCACAACAGTCACTGAAGAACGGGACCTGATTCGTAGGGAACTGGTGGACAAAATGCATCTCCTGGATGACTTCGAGACCCGCTACCATCGCGAGTACAAGTGGGTTTCTCATCAGTTATTCAGTCGACCAATGGCAACATCGAGTTGCATGATTTCTGGTTTGCTGCTGCGGAATCTCCTTGCAGTGAGTGAATGAATCAGAACTTCAATTTTTGCTGCTTCTTTTTCCGTCAAATGCATTACACTGGCTCCTAGAAGAGTGCATTTTGGTTCTTGCTGATTGCTTGCATGGTTTTTATGTCCCCAATTCGCAATTGGAAATTGGCATTGGTGTTCAATTGATTTCTTGTTTGTGCAGGGCCTGGGAGACAGAAAGATTAACGTTAAATGATCAAATTGAATCCATGCGTGAGCAGGCGGCACAGGTGACAGTCAAGAAAAGCAGCACTGGTGACAGGCATAACTTGACAGGCTCCCAAGACTCTGAGGATTCTTTGGGACTTGTGGTGGCTAATTTGCGAGAGGAGCTTGATGAGGCCAAGGAAAAAGAGGTAGCTGACCTTGCCTTTGATTCCATTGTAAAGGACTGTGAACATTTGCTTGAACTGTTGATGTTCGTGGAATTGTTGCTTCTGGAAGATTCGGTGGATCAATTTCACTCAGGAGGTCAGCTTGACAGTGAACTATTGGTTGTGAATTGCATCCCCAACCCTGTCTGCTTTTGCACATGAAGTGTATGAAGCGATGTGAAGATGAGGCAATCAGGAGAACATTGTTGCAGCACTGCTAATGGCCATTAAATTAGCAGATTCATCTGCAGTAGTGTGATTGCCGATGGCAGGGATGTTGAGATGTGCAGGCATGCAATCTATTTTCACAGTTCCAGCACATGGCAAGGGATTCACGATGTAACATGCACTGGGTGATGGGCGTTCACGAAAAAGCAACAAAGCATCATAGGTCTTTACAGTTTTGATCAGTTTGCTGTTGTATGAGCTGAAGCAGACAACTTGGACAAGCAAGCCAAGCACACAAGAAGGGCAGTTGGAGTTGTGATATGACAATCATTCTATGCATGAGCTGATGTCAGCTTGGGCATAAATTCGTCAGCGAGATGCATGGTGGAGCAACCTTATGCCTTGAATGCTACTGGGAATATGCCTTGCTAAGTGGATATTGGGAACCTTCAGCATGGGTTGCTGATGCTCCGCTTCCAGATCTTGCTGCTGGAAGCATATGAACAGCTCGAGATGGACGTCGAAAAGGAAGTGCAGCGGGCTGTTGCTGGGCAGACCGCTGATTTTGAGAGGCAGGCCAAGAGGAACAAGGCCTTGGAGGAAGAGCTGCAGTGTACCAGGGCAAGGTGTAGAGCTCTGGATGAGCATTTGGAGCATCTCCAAGAGAGCTTGGACGCTGTACAGGAGAGGAACAGGATGTATGAAGAGGGGATATATGGTCTTGTGGAGGTGAGAAGCAGCATGGGCACAAGTGGTGTGTATTGGTTTATGGCGCATTACGCTTCGTTCAGGGAGGGTGAGGGGGATTCCGTGTGTGGCTGTGGAGGGGGAGGAAATATGCATTGTACATCTTGCCACCATGGCCAGGGACACAATCAAGATGTGGTTTCAACTTGCAGTTCACATAAACGTTACTTCTCTGATGCCCCCCCCCAGCAGTTTCCAAATCAAGCCTGTAACCAATGACACAATACAGCGCAAGAACTGCCACAAAGATAGTGACATATATCCTGTGACAATGAGAGCTGAGGTTGTCATGTGACATTGTTGTGCAGCTTCTGTGTCCAGCATGGCAAGAGAACAAGCCAGAACATTGAAAAGTGGTCCAGATCTCTCATGTACAGAGACAGTGTTTCCACAGTTGAATAGCAATCTTGGGGAATCGGCTTGTGAAACAGGATCGAATTTTCGGCCAATCAGCCTGGCTGAAAATGAATGGCCAATGGAATTTTGATGACTCCCAGAGGCATTTGAACTTCCAGAATAACATTACAGCGTTTTATGCAAACCTTTCCCTGCAGATTATTGTGGAATTTCTCAAGAGTATGTTGAGCAGCTGCCTCAGGCTTGAGCTGGTTGATGAATCTTGCTTAATTTGTGAGACCATGGTGTAACTGCTCCACAGGCTATGGAAGAAATCAGTTCATTGAAAGCTCGTCTGGATGCAGCAGAGAAGCGGCAAGAGGAGCTGGTGTCTCAGGCAAATTTAGCAATGGACAGTGTGGAGACCCTAGCAGATGAGAACAGGGTGCTCCGGGCAAAGGTACCCTTATTGCAAGCATGAACGCGTGCTAGTGATAATCCGATCCATAGTTCCTGCATGAGCGATTCCTTGGTGCGCAAGTTTGGGGAATTGCCAACTCAAATATGCAAGCAGTGCAAGTCGTATTCCTGCATGCTGATGCTTACCTTAATGAGGTCACGATTGACCTTTGCAAAAGAACATCACAGTGACATGATGAAACCTCAAGTTCTGTCCGTGACATGCGGGACTATTCCCTCAATACCAGGCAAATGTTCCAGAAGAGGAGGCAGTTGATATCTCACATCTGAAGATTGAGAAGGATGCAGCCATTCTGCAGCTGAGAAGTCTGACTGCTCAATTGGAAACTGAGGTGTGGAACCTTGAGGAAGAACGCCGCAAGTTGAAGACAGAGTTGCGCTTCAGGGCCAAATACCAGGGCCGCCAAGCAGCAGACATGGGCTTGACTCCAGAGCAGGTCCTGAGGGTGGAACAATAT